CCAAACTAAGCAAAGCTTGTACTATGGGTACTAGACAACGGATATAATACATACTTAAATACTTTTTTTTTGTAAATACATACTTATTATACATAGAAAACACCCAGTCCAATACAAACAAATATGTTCATGCACACAAATGTTTGTACTGTCCGGGAATCGAACCCGCTACCTCCGGAATAGTAGTCCGTTTCGAACCACTACACCAAACGGCCGACAACGACAAACTTAGTAGGTAGGTACATTTTATGACATGCCGTTTAAAGAGTATGCTTCTAAAATTCCAACAATGCTTTCACAAAAATCCACCCAACTGTACAAAGAAAATAAAAATTGATTGTTTATACACAATCTTTGTTTGTTTGTCCGTTTGTCATTCCGGGCGAGGCGGGTGGCGTATATTTATGGAACGCATTAGCGAGTTCCGGCCTCTGTCAATGAGCCTATGGAATTCGTGGCGACCTTGCTATATTTTTTATAATAGGTAATTCCCCAATGACAGAAATTATGCCAAATATTAAGCGTAGAGTCAATATCCTTGGACATGTTACACAGCGTTAGTTTAGTTTTAAACTATCCAAAGTTTGTTCAATGGGTACTGGTACCCAGATAGTATAATATCATGGTACCCAAACCCATAGTACCATTATGGTATCCACGGTAGTCTGGACAACGGATCAAACAATACTTAGCTGGATTATCAACATCAGTATAATGCGCAATAATCTAGCGCATACAAATGTTTGATTAGATCAGAGATCGAACCCGCAACATCTGACAGTAGTCGGTACGCGAACCACTAGGCCGTCTAGTCTAGAAGCTACCAGACAAAATAGTTTTGTCCATCGATCGCGTTTTGATGCGATTAGTGAGGAGGTTGGAGACGAATGTATGGCTTCACATTACGTTTCTAACTGGATCTGTTTGGAACATACGAGGGACTTGACTTGCCTAACATAGACGAATAAATAGGAACGAATATTACTACAATAAAAAGGCAATAAATTAATTTTTCTGAGAGGAATCGCTGAATTTTNTGAATTTTAGATTTGATCTTTTTGGCTCTCGTACACTCTCTCTAAAATTTTAATTTTTACAAACAGGTTGCAGATAAGGGCCTCATTTCTCAATAACGGAGTATTTAATAGGTCATAATAACGAATTTTAATAGCTTCCCCAGATGCACTGCAGTAGGCCGAACGCATAAACATAGTTTTATTAACATTAAACTCCGACCAAATTAACATGAGCCTCCTTTGAACCCAATCCTATAATATTTCATAAAAAATCTGCCAGCAGCGGAGTTCAAACAACATTGGTTGATAACAGATTAGTCAGACAGCTCTTTAATAAAAGGTTCTTTGTAATGGGCACGTTAGATTTAACACAAAATTAATGATCTCAGTTGGACTTGTTAATAGACCGAGCGTGTAGTGTTTATTGGCGCTTTATGCCATCACAGATTACAAAATAAAACAGAGCATTTGCCACATGGATTTGGACTTTGAAGAGTAGGTTTTAGGACTTATCTAGCCTTTCATCTCTTTGTTAAAACTTTGTATCCTGTGTAATCACTTCAAGTTTTAGTAAAAGTCTACATTGCAAAGTTTGTAATATTAGGTATTTGTGGTTTCCGCGAATACAAAGTCAAAATAGATCGTTTTATTGATTTCCGCAATATAAAGTCTCAATAACTGTAGAAAGTTATTAATTTAATAAAATAACTTTGTAGAGTCGCCGAGTCTGCGCTCATCAACATCAAAGATTAAACATATCGTGATGAATCAAAACATTAGATAGAAATTTACCTCCATCAACCTCGCTCCAAGTCTCTGCCTCGCCTTCCTGGTGCAGTCCCTGCAAGCATCTCGTACAGAAGCTGTGCAGGCAGCCCAGCAATCTGGGCTCTACCAACTCCTTCCTACACAGTCCACACTCCCACTCTTTCACTGGAGGACGCCCACTTTCATATGCCGAAGTTCTCGGGGCCACAATCAGGTTCTGACTCACAGGACGCTGAGTTCTTGGCAGTCGTAACGGGCTGTTCCCAGCACTGAGAGACGACTGTTCAAAAGACTTCCTCTTGTCTTTTTTTCGCGAAAAACTTCCGAAAATGTAAAGAATACGGTCCACTTCCATTTTTAATGTAACGACGACATTAAAAATACCTTATTTTACGCGCGAACTTTATTTGAATTCGAATTCAGAACGTAAAGTTTTTTTAAGGCAAAGGAGTGCGTGACTATACGGATAGTGAAACAATAAATAATTGTGTAGCGTAAAAATAAACGTGTCGTCCGCTGGACGCCTCCCGGCTTACTGGAACTGCTCAGCACTTGGGGGGTTGCACTCTCAGACAACATGGGAAGTGGGATTGTTTATGTAAGTAATCATTATGCTTATTACCTAGTACTTAACATTGACTTATTTGGGTAAAATCGCAACTAAGTTATTGAGCTTGAGAGGTGGGTAAGTAATTAGTAGGGTTTCAATATTCCAAAAATAGTTACTTTTATCAATCGTCTAATTTATCACACCCCTCTTCCAATCGAGCGTTTTTGTCTCATGTCATTTCCTACATTTGAGGGATGAGCCCGGTAATAAAGTTAACTGTTCTATTTTTGGACCAAACGACCCCGTCATATCTCATTTCCGTGACATTGGAGGGTTGAGGACGAACGGTGGGCTATTTATTATGTTAAACTAAGGGGCTACTTATGTCGAGCTATTTTATGTTAGGCATGCGCAAGTCCTTTTTGAAGTTCTGATTTTAGGCTTTATTACATCAAAACACAAACTTTACCACTCTACCCTCATGAATGCAGCTATGGGCATGGGTTACAATTCCAGTCATGACTTAAAAAAATGTCTATAGGCTTAAATCGAACTTTTTATACGAATAAAGATGGATTTGACCAAACAAGAGTAAATATTTATCTCAGAATAAATCGTCAGTTATTCGACATCTTGACATATTATTTCCCATACAGCAACTGTCAATGTGCTAGTTATACCACAGGTTATACCACAGAATGTTATAGTAACGGTGTTATTCTCAGATAAGTTGGGTCGAATCGGGCCTAAGTAATTAGTAATTTTTAAAAATGATGTAAAGAAAGCTCTGCAACTATTTCGAAAGAGCGTTTATGGCAGCTCCAAAGCATTAAAGCTTGTGCAATGTTAATTCTCCGCGATAACTGCGCAGGAGTTGAATGGCGAATGGGGTGCGATAAACTGCGTTAACCACTGACAACAATGAAATCGTTCTCTAAATAGAATTTTATTTATTTAAGAATGATAACGAATATTAGGCTGCAAGGTGGGGAAGAGCAGCAGATGAGCAGACTTTTGAATTTTTGCGAGGAATAATTTAAGGGTAAACTTTTTGGTCACTAAAAATCCTTCAAAATACTTAATCAAAATCAAAATTATCTTTATTTGTTTAGACTAATTAAATTAGTTCTTGCAAATCGTCAAATGCTCTTAAGGAGCCATACATGTCTCATTCTTTTTTTGCCCTACCAGCGCTTCGAGACAAACATTTGGCAAGTTAAATGGCTAAAGGCTTAAATGATAAAGTTCGGTGACAACGGGATAATTTATGATAAAAGCAAAAAAAAAGTTTAAATCAGTTAAATTATTATTTCATTTTAGCTAAACTTAATTAGTTTGAATCCCAACCCAACTGTATTTTAGTAAATTATTTTTGTTCTAATTTATTAAAGACGTATGCAAAATTAAGTAATTTTACCAAATGAATGACATCACAGAACAATGAAAGTAAAAGTTTTCATCAGCTGTTGTTGTTTACGAACTGCACAACAATAATAGCGCAACGCGCGATACGGAACGCTGACCTAGTTTTGGCGGCAAAACTAATGTCAGTCAGCTATTTTTCGCGCGCACCCGTGTTGCGCGGCGGCCATTCGGAAACTGAGTATGAGCTGTGGTATGAGTTATAGTTTGAATAGGAAGGATTCACTACGGAAATCCATGCAAACAATACCCAAAACATGGCCGGATGACCCAAACATAAATAAAAGTGTAACTTCCAAGGTATTGATCTAAGATCTAGGAAACAAAGAACTTTTTCACAAAATGCACATACCTAATAGGCATGGGGTGGGAATGGTGGGATTATGAAAGTAAGATTTAAAAGTGATGCAGTATTGTTTACTAGTACGAATACACTTTGATACAGCAAAATCTTTAAAAATATAGGACTCTACGGATAGTCATTCATGACTCTATCAAGCTCTGTCGATCGTCCGTCCTGGAACTTTCCCATGAGTGACAGAGACAGTTAACTCTGCAAAACCATATATCGAAATAGTTTAGCACAGTAGCCCACTAGAAAATGTTAACAAAACCTAACCATACAATAAATTAAATTAGACGCGGCCACCGCACCGTCTCGTATCGATTTATTTATTTAACAATGCGACGGCCTTATTTATTTGGTCTGCTGACGGAACTGCGCTGTGTTTAGATTCACAATGGTGATATGGGTCAAAACGATCTGTGAGAGATAAAATAGACAATGTATGGGAACAAACTTTGTTTACCTTGTGACTCTCATTTTTAAAAAAAGTACTTAGTTAATATCTTTTGCAATTATTTTCATTTCATAAATATAAATGTACTCTAGTAGGTAAGTTAGGGTAATTTTGATCTACGAATAATCGTTGGTCGAAAATACGCATTGTCATTTAATAATATATTAATTAGTAGGAAAGAAAAACATTAAAAATAAAAATCTCATAAAAATCTGGTTCAAGTAGCTGCCTTATGGGAAGGTGTCCACTGTCCAGAAGGCTTTTACATTACATGAGACTTGGCAAGACAGTCCCGCTGAAGCGTGTAGAGCGCCACCTAGCGCCACGTAATGATTCTGCCAATGTCCTATAAAGTTAAATGCTTACTGCATAAAACGGAACGTACATTATTGACGGCCACTGTCAATTTGACAAGTTCTGTTTGACATTAGTAGATCGGTGCTGTTGTGCTGTGCGTGCAGCCGATTTCTATTTTACTTTTCTCGTGTGGGTGTAGAGAAACGCAAAGCAAATGCTTATTTATAAACTATTTTGAATATTTATTACGCGAGTGCTCATTTGTGTGTAATGTGAAGTGCTCGGGCCCAGTTCGTCATGATGAACGCGCACAAGATATGGGTGCTTTCAAGCCTCTGTGTTGTTGTTATCGTTGTAATATATTTTCAGTCAGAAATTGAACGTTTAGAAGAGATTTATCACAGATTAGGTGATTACTAGGATCTGTCCAATTCAATTTACTGTTTATTTGCGATGCAGATACTTATTATCGTTATTAATTTTCAGAATACAGATTAGTCCAAACGCATTCCGAACCTCGGCAGTTCTTCATGCAACCAGTGGATAAAAGTGATGATGACCTGGTGGTGATATACAATAGGGTTCCGAAGACGGGATCGACAAGTTTCGTGGGTGTGGCGTACGATTTGTGCAAGAAGAATCACTTTAAAGTGTTACATATCAATATAACGGCGAACATGCACGTGATGACCCTGGACAACCAGTACAAGTTTGCTCAGAACGTCACCAAGTGGAAGGATGTGAAGCCAGCCCTGTACCATGGTCACATGGCATTCCTGAACTTTCATAGGTGGGTGAGGGGTTTTATTAAAGAAATCAAATAGGAAGTTATTTGAGAGCTCATCTATTTTAAATAGTTCCTTTTGTACCAGTTTACCTGATGTGATTTTCTGCAAAGCTCTGATACCCAGGCATGCAATATTCTGTCAGATATTGTGGCATAAAACTTATCAAAGTTTTTTTACTTATGCCTAAATTATACTGAAATTATCTCAATTATCAAATATGAACTTCTAACTTTTTTTTACAAGCTCTTACATTGATAACTTTCTTTTAAAAGTTAACAATTAAAACTCTTTTGTTTCAAATGATTTTCTTTTATCTTTCAGACTTGGCACCTCTTCAAAGCCCTTATACATAAACCTGATAAGGAAGCCCCTGGACCGGCTGGTCTCATATTACTATTTCCTGAGAAACGGAGACAATTTCCGGCCACACTTGGTTAGAAAGAAACATGGAGATAAAATGGTAAGGATATGAAAAAAGTTTAGTAAGAAATAGCTTTTTATTTATGGGAATCACAGGGTTGAGATACATAAAATTTTTGTATGCTGTTGTCACCTATAGGTGTAATTATAATTAAGCACTTAGCATGTAACCAAATGTTATTTTTCATATCTAGTTTGTGGTGTAATCTTGTTGGTGATCCTTTTAAATAAAAAATAAAATAAAATTCTGAGTGTCTTTATGCAAAGGCCTCTTCCATTAATTCTTCATTCATTCTCCATTCTTAGCACAATTTAATTATCCTGTACCAATGCCTCACTATTGGAGACATAGTTGATACATTACAAAACACAGCTTCTCTACAAAATGTTTAGTTTTAGTCATGGAATGTAATAATGCAAAGAAAAAACTATTTTTTCTGTGAATTTTTTCTGGACCACCTTTTAAGAACAAAAAAGTTCTGTCATAATTTGTATGAACAACCTATGGTGTGGTAGTGTACAAGCTTTATCAGCCAACTTATCAAACGTCTGTTCTTTATTTTTAGACGTTCGACGAGTGTGTGGAGCAGGGGCAGCCGGACTGTGACCCCAACAACATGTGGCTTCAAGTGCCTTTTTTCTGCGGCCACTCAGCGCAGTGTTGGTATGTATTTATAGATTATAGTTTCATAGTAAAAATACACATGCTGTATATCACAAATGATATAATACTTGTTCAGCGGAAAACATTAATTTGGTTTAAATTCAAGTTAAACAGCAGTTATTTCCTTGTACAGTCAGCATCACATAGTTTATGACACCTAAAGTAGCCAAGTAAGAGGCGACTTAGGGACTACACATCAAACAGAGAACGGGCAGCAGCGCTCTCTGAAAAACATCAATCTTTTAAACTGTGATCTCCAACCCGCCTGCCAAGCGTGGAGATTATGGCAAAACCCTCCACTATAGAGGAGGAGGCTCATAGTCCAGCAGTGGACTGTAAAGGGCTGTTGATGATGAAAGTAGCCAAAAAGTTCGCACCACGTCTTTGTTGCAATTGGAATAAGGTTGTTTTGTCAACTTTTGGCTACTTTGGGTATCACGAACTATTTTACGCTGTAATAGGTGAAATTTTGCATCGAAAATGTATACCCTGATGTGTTTTCGATTATACATACAATAGGCGGAATTGCCTAACATACTCGTACCATCTACTATATAAAAATAAGTCGGGTTTTCCTCCCTGACGCTATAACTCCAGAACGCACGAACCGATTTCCACGGTTTTGCATTCGTTGGAAAGGTCTCGGGCTCCGTGAGGTTTATAGCAAAGAAAATTCGGGAAAAGGGGGTAAAACAGGATCCACGCGTACGAAGTCGCGGGCGGCCGCTAGTATTTTATATATTAAAATAGATTACTACATCTAGTTATTGAAAAAATACCAATTCCTGCCATTACTTTATGTGATAGTAAAATCAGTTAGTTAAAGTTTTGCGCAACATGATTAATTTTATAGCATCGTTAAATAGTGCTTAGCCCTAGTTAATGAACGAAGTTTAATTGCGAAAACATTTTTTGTGGCTATTATCACAGAATAATAATAAGTACTACGTACTATTATTAATAATGGGAACTTTAAATGAACAATTATTTTGGATTTAGAAATTAAAACACGCCGCGAAATAGCATTTTGGAGTGTGTTTTCGACTACGAGCCTTATTCCAAGCAGACCAAACAGACTTGGAGCTTCTGCTCTAAGCCTAGGCGCAAACTACCGATTTTTAGCCGGCCGATATTTAAGCTCCGATTCTAATTTGTATGAAGAATCAATCGGTGTAATGTGCGCACTTCCATGCATGCCCATACTGATTAACTTCCCGACTAAACTATCCTCCGACAAAAATCGGTGATCTGCGCCTACGCTAAACACTTTCATTCAAGGCTTTTGGATCTTTAGACTAGGATTAAACCTTAAAACGAAGCAATAAGGTTCAATACATTTTCTAATCAATTAAATGTGATTCTTAAATATGTCAATTTTGTCTCTAGGAAACCGGGCAGCCACTGGGCGTTGCAGCAAGCGAAGCAGAATCTAGTCAACCACTACCTCGTAGTGGGGGTGACGGAAGAAATGCTGGACTTCATCATGGTCTTAGAGGCAGCCCTGCCCAGGATGTTCAGGGGTGCCACCGAGCACTATCTAAACAGCAACAAGTCGCACCTGCGTCAAACCAGCTNTTTATTAACAAGTCAAATAGCAAATAATGTGAGAGCTTATTTATTTTTAAATGGTATCTATTACCAGTTTACCCAATGTGTTTTTCTGCTAAGCTCTGATACCCAGGCATGCAATATTCTGTCAGATTTTCAAAACTGCTTGAAGACCTTATTATACTGAAATGAAACTAGAATTGTCTCAATTATCAAATGTTAAGTTTTAACTTTAGCCTTACAATATCTCTTGCCCCAATAATATTTGGTTAAAAGTTAACACTGTCACAAAATATGTATTAAAGCATTTTTGTTTCAAATTTTTTTCTATTATCTTTCAGACTTGGCACCTCTTCAAAGCCATTGTACATAAACCTGATAAGGAAGCCCCTGGACCGGCTGGTCTCATATTACTATTTCCTGAGAAACGGAGACAATTTCAGACCACACTTGGTTAGAAAGAAACATGGAGATAAAATGGTAAGGATATGAGAAAAGTTTAAGAAATAGCTTTTTATTTATGGGAATCACAGGGTTGAGATACGTAAAATTATTGCATGCTGTTGTCACCTATAGGTGTAATTATAATTAAGCACTTAGCATGTAACCAAGTGTTATCATTCATATCTAGTTTGTGGTGTAATCTTGTTGGTGATCCTTTTAAATAAAAATTAATAAAAAGATCTGAGTGTCTTTATGCGAAGGCCTCGTCCATCAATTCTTCATTCATTCTCCATAATTAGATGATTTCATTATCCTGTACCAATGCCTCACTATTTGAGACATAGTTGATACATTACAAAAAACAGCTTCTCTACAAAATACTTGATTTTAGTTATGAAATGTAACAATGTAAAGAAAAATACAGTGTCACATTTGTAATGTGAAAATATCAGCTTTTTACTTTGTATGTATTTATAAGTACAAAAAAAATATATTTATGTCAGTACATTTGTTCTGGACCACCTTTTAAGAACAAAAATATTCCGTCTTATTTTGTATGAACAACCCATGGTGTGGTAGTGTACATGCCTTATCAGCCAACTTATCAAATGTCTGTTCTTTATTTTTAGACGTTTGACGAGTGTGTGGAGCAGGGGCAGCCGGACTGTGACCCCAACAACATGTGGCTTCAAGTGCCTTTTTTCTGCGGCCACTCAGCGCAGTGTTGGTATGTATTTATAGATTATAGTTTCATAGTAAAAATACACATACTGAATGTCACAAATGATATTATAATACTTGTTCAATGGAAAACATTAATTTGGTTTTAATTCAAGTTAAACAGTAGTTATTCCCTTGTACAGTCAGCATCACATAGTTCATGACACCTAAAGTAGCCAAGTAAGAGGTGACTTAGGGACTACACATCAAACAGAGAACGGGCAGCAGCGCTCTCAGAAAAACATCAATCTTTTAAACTGCGATCTCCAACCCGCCTGCCAAGCGTGGGGATTATGGCAAAACCCTCCACTATAGTCCAGCAGTGGACTGTAAAGGGCTGTTGATGATGAAAGTAGCCAAAAAGTTCGCAACACGTCTTTGTTGCAATTGGAATAAGGTTGTTTCGTTAACTTTGTTAATTTTGACCACTTTGGGTATCATGAACTATTTTACGCTGTAATAGGTGAAATTTTGCATCAAAAATGTATACCCTGATGTGTTTTCGATTATACATACAATAGGCGGAATTGCCTAACATACTCGTACCATATTTTATATATTAAAATAGATTACCTCGTCTAGTTATTGAAAAAAATACAAATTCCTGCCATTAGTTTATGTGATAGTAAAATCAGTTCATTTGTTAAAAGTTTTGCGCAACATGATTAATTTTATAGCATCGTTAAATAGTGCTTAGCACTGGTTAATGAGCGAGGTTTAATTGCGAAAACATTTTTTGTGGCTATTATTAATAATGGGAACTTTAAATGATATTTTGGATTTAGAAATTAAAACGCGCCGCGAAGTAGCATTTTGGCGTGTGTTTTCGACTACGAGCCTTATTGCAGGCAGATTTGGAGCTTCTGCTCTAAACACTTTCATTTATTGCTTTTGGATCTTTAGACTAGGATTGAACCTTAAAACAATGCAATAAGGTTCAATACATTTAAGAGCATTTGACGATTTGTAAGTACTAATTTAATTAGTCTACACAAATAAAGATAATTTTGATTTTGATTTTTGATTTCTTAGTCTAAATTTAATGTGATTCTTAAATATTTCAATTTTGTCCCAAGGAAACCGGGCAGCCACTGGGCGTTGCAGCAAGCGAAGCAGAATCTAGTCAACCACTACCTCGTAGTGGGAGTGACGGAAGAAATGCTGGACTTCATCATGGTCTTAGAGGCAGCCTTGCCCAGGATGTTCAGGGGTGCCACCGAGCACTATCTGAACAGCAACAAGTCGCACCTGCGTCAAACCAGTTCAAAACTCCAACCCAGCCCGGAGACCATAGAAAAGATACAACAGTCCAACATCTGGAAAATGGAGAACGAATTGTACGAATTCGCGCTAGAACACTTCAAATTCGTCAAACGACGAATCCTGTTGAAGGAGCCCAACAGTGTTGCGCAAACGTTCTTCTACGAAAAAATACGGCCTAAATGAGAATACGTTTTACTGTTGACCACAGTAATATCATTGAAACAGTACGTTCGTGCGACTTTGAAAACCAACCGGTTTCTAGTGAAAGTCATATCGGAATACAATTATACAATTCGCTTAGCTCTAGGTTGGACTTAAAGGGTAAACTTTTTAGGTAAATTATTACAATTGACTTATAATATAATCAATATGCAATATATCAATGTTATACTCGTAGTTGTAGCATAAGATGACTATTCGATTTTAGAAAAAGTTTATTCTTTATTATAAGAGCCAACACTGCCGAATACTGAGTTGATACTTGAGGAATTAGTTGTTTCTCCCCACAAAAACATTACCAATGTTACTTTAACAGTTTATGCTGCATACCAATATAAATAACAAAGCTATGTCTGTATATTTGTCTGTGCAGGTCACAGTCACTCTTGCCAGCATTTCGCTATGAGTGGGAGAAACGTATAGATCCGAAAACAGAAAAATCACGTTTACTTAACCCCACGGGACACAGTTTCAAGTTTCATCTCAGTATTTGCGCGAAAAACTACTTAAATATCTCGTCATTCCATGCATTTGCATGTCATTGGTAGTTTTATTTTTACTTGAAGACAGTTTACATACCATTGATAATTAAATTTTTATACTAATCCAATTTTATTAAGTCGTTATTTTTTGTACTTTATGTACTTACATTTTTTTATTATATTGACATGTATAGTGTTCATTGTAGTTAAATTTAAGTCCTAGGTCTAATAATGTATCAAATATTTGTAGTTACTTACAGTACTAAATAATTTCGTTAGAAGAAAGAGACAATGCTCTACAAAACGTATAGCTTTCTCTCACTCTCACATTAGCTGGAATCATTTTAATGCATAACCCCATTTAATACTTAATTATGGTATTGCAGTGCCTAAAGAATGTTACTAAGCTTTATGTAAGGGGTTAAATACCAAAGTTAATGAGATTAACGGTTTAGGCACTCAAGTACCTGATAAAAATCTGTTTAAACGGTGATCTTTAAAACATATACTTAATACATTAATTTCGTATGTATTATAGTAGAAACATTTTACAAGTTTTTCATCAAATTGCACCGTTATAGATGCTTTGCACAGTAACATTACTTATATCAGCTAATTATTGTTACTAACCAATAACCATACATATTATGTAGCAAGAAATTATTGAATAATAGTTGTTTATGATGAATTTATAGCCTGGACTTGTATAATATTGTATTAACTAATTTAGAAAAATATGGGACGAATTATGTGAATTGATACTTAATAGCAATTATTTTTGTGTTCATAGATATTTAAATTATAACAATTTGTATATTTTGATTATTGTTGTTGATATTTTATATAGAAAAGACAATCTGAATTATTTTTATAAGAACGCTCAAGTTTGTTTGTGTTTGTATGCAGTGGCTTATGTTTAACAATGTAATAAAGTATCTCTCTTTCTCTAGATAGTTAGTCTGTTAATAGACCGAATTCTAAGAGAGAGCGAGACGACTAATCATCTCTCTGTCATGCTTAGACAGAGACAGCCAACGAATTCTGACTCCGATTTGTAGTGCAATCACTATCACTCCAAGAGAGGGACAAAAGATGTATTTTAGATGCATTCGAAATTCGCATAATGAATTTATGCTGCATGATTAGTTATTTTTGACATGACATTGACAGATATGTCAAAATCCACTACGTATCTTACGTCTACGTATTGCCATCTGGCGGATTTTTCAATCGCGAAAACCCTCATTGTATTCTTATGCGATTTGAATAGTTTCAAATGCATTAGAAATGTGAAAAATTATTTCTTAAATAACCCTCTGCTTAGATTTGATATGTTCATTGCTTTGGCGCGCAGCCGGCGCGACTATGACGCGACTTGTCATGAAATAACATTAGGCGATAACTTTTAAACTGTATGAAGACGTAAGGGCCGTTTTCCACTAAAGCGAAGACAAGAGATGCAATAAGCAACTAACTTCGTGATTTGCTTTACACGTCTCATCTCCGCTCGGCTTCTGTAGAAAAGGTTGAATTTCTCGGCTCGGCCATGTATCTCGTCACCACACATCTCAAGTCGCGCTGTCACATCGGCTGTATAACAAAGCCTCAACTTTTAGTTATTGACTAACTGAATCTTGTTTGTCTAATCAAATATTGTGATATTTTTAAATCCATCCACGCTTGTTGACCGAGCTGTTAATTTGTTAACTTTTTGTAACTTCGTGCTGTGTGAATATAACGACTCATTTTTGTTGTAAACATATTTTTGTGTGCAATTTTTTGTAACTCGTATTTCAGTTGTATATTAGAGTTTGTAACTAAATATTGATTTTGTAATTTCTACTTAACAATATCAAAAATTGTATTTTTTTTGTGTAGATAATGTGTGTAAAAAGGGACCATGGAAATTACAGATTGTAAACGGGTCATTGTGGTGTCGCGTTGACGTCGCGCCGACATCGCGTCGTCACTCTGAACGGCGGATGTCGTGATATTATACGGTTTTTATTGATTGATATAAAACGTATTACTACTCAGATGTACAGGATTTTGACTTTTTATAAGCCTATCTGTAGACTTTGAAAATTAATCTGTGGAAAAAAACAAGTATAGCCTGACCAGGAACATAAAAACCCTGACATAGAGGCGCGTCAATTGCATTTGATAGTGCAACACTGAGTACAGTCGTACCTGTGTTAAATTAATAGGCTAACTTTATGTATCAGGATTCAGGATTACGGGCTAAATTGATATTTTCATAAATTAACGAAAAAATATTATAGGTAACGTAATTTAAATAAATTTAATGAAACCATCAATCGAGCAAGACGAATTTATTTTATTATTCATCAATAATCAAATTCAGAACTTGAATATTCAACTGCAATGTCTGCTCATAAACGCTTCAAACTCGGTACTTCTTTCCCAATCCTATAAAATTCAACACAAGTGACAAAATTTTTTAAAATAGGTAGTTGAAACAAACCACAGCTAATTTTCATAGTGGACTGTACTATACGATAAACATGTCAGTCAATTTGACAACCTTTGTCGGAAACATTATTCAATGAAAATATTGTCCGAACCCTTAGTATTTCTCTTCGACAAATACTTTAACACATTTCCGATAATTACCTACAGCGAAGCGCCCCGCCGGCGAGTATTATATCAGTCGAGTGTCACGCGCTCGCCCGTCAGGACGCTGGCGTGCGTTTTAGTATGATTATAATTCTATGATCGAAGTATTATTTAAAAATGGACATAAAGAGAAAGAAATATTGTGCGGCGTTCGGGTGTTTAAATTCGAAAAGAAATTACCAGATTTATCTTTTTTTTTCGCTTCCCAAAGATGCTGAAAGGTATGTTGGCCATGTAGGTAATCAATAATCAAATTCTTAGGATAGTATAGGATTCTTTTTTTTTCTGTAATAGTATGTTTAATTTATCTGTCTTATGTTAAAATAGGTATGAATGCAGACATTGTAATAGAACAAGTTTTTTTAATCCTAATTAGGTATATTTGAAATGTTATTTTTACTTACCTACATACGTACCTCATTAAAAATAAGTAGATTAATTATTTTTTCACTAGACAGCAACCCTAACAGCGTAAGAAGAGTTCAGAGGCACGCGATAGAAAGAGACAAAACTTGTAGGTGAATAAAATTGTAGGTACGTAGTGCTGTGCGAGCTGAATTCCACTGTATCGCGTCGCAGCAAGACTCGCATTTATTTAAATCGTCATGCGGAGTAATCCTTCTGTACCTGTACTATTACTTATTCTGTGACACTACATCAGTTCTCATTACCTTTGATACGACTGTTTGCTATTTTGCGTTACTTTTTGGGATGTCTCAGCGTAATTACGGCTTATAGCTACCAAAAGATAGGCGTGCTATGCAAATGATTCGACAACAGAATGTTCCTGTTTGTGGTAATTATGCCTTACTCAGTAGCGAGTGATACCTTACTAGCCTTACTTTCATATTAACGTTTTTTTTTTTCTGAAAGAAGTTTCTAACTAAGTACTACCTAGTTACGGGTTTTGCAAAACTGTTGTATTTAGATGGTTTTGGACGTTTGATATAATACAGACCTGTATTGCAATTAAACTGATTTTACATCAACAGAAACAGTCGGACAAATTCTGTGAATGATAACAGAAATAACCTCTTGTACGCGCACGCGCACGTTATTAATGCCTAATGAATCATGCGCAACTGTGCTGCTGGTTATTTCGCAATGGGATTACGACTGTAAGTCTGTGTTTACATGAGCGGGCATCGGGTTTGCGGATAGCTGTCAAAATTTGACAGCCGTCTGGTAGAGTTCCAAGACTTCCAAGCTCTGAAGTTCCGGGCCTAACATTGATAGTCATGGTTAAGTGGGTATTGCTCTCTACTCATAGGTACACAGGTATAAGTTACTCTTTTAGATAATTGTGAATCTTGGCTGTAGGTGCTTACAGAAGTTTTTTGGTGGGTGGAGAGATGTATGAATGAAAGGCTGTATTAGTCCTGTGAAAACGTTCTTCCCGGTACAGTTTAGTTTGCATTGTGTTTTGGGCAACCTTTATGGTCAGAATAGGGATTTATTTTGTCATCTTCTTTTAACACAAAGAAGTAATTTAATTTTACTAGGCATTTCCACCTTCGGCCTGATCATCATTTACCATCAGGTGAGATACAGGCCAAGAGCTTCCTCGTTGTGGATAAAAAAAATGTAAGCCCGCCAGTGAATGGCCAAAATGATTCATTGGTTCATTCGCACGTCAAAAACGCCGGCACCATTGAATTTGTTTATAAACAGATACTGGAACTGCTGTATGTCTGTTTAGAATCATGATTCTGTGACTCAACCCCTTGAGATCTAGAAGTGATTTTCTTCTTCGTTTCGTTTTCCTTTGCCCATGGTTCCATTTGCGGCACTTTCAGTTTTACAATTAGGTAGGACTAGATATTATAGATAGGCTTCCTAAATGTCGAGCGATGTATAGAGCGCAGTACCTCTGACTTAGTACATTTTATGATAATATCGTCAGTTGCAGGTTCACTTGGGGTAACTGACAAAATACAGTTTTTCAGTAGAGCCGTTTAAAGTTTTTTTTCGTCTTAAATCGGACATAACTTTTTTCCTATTTAACCTTTTTTGGATCTGTTTTTACAGAAATGCTTAGAATTCTACGCGGTTTTAGATTAAATAAAAAGAATTATCTAATATGTCTTACTTAAGGAAATAAATTGCAGTTACACCAATGTATTTTTGTACTTTTGACAATTACACTAATTTTACACCAAACTTTTGGAAAAAACATAGGTCAAATTGGTGTAAGTACTGCCCAAAGTTGAAATAATTTGATGATTTTCTGGGTTTTGTTTAGTTAGTTGCTGTATAATTTATGTAAAAGTATTAAAAAATAAGAGAATTCATGAAAAATATTACATTTTGTCGTTTTCTTTATTTTTTTTTAATTTTATTAGAAGTAACTTTTATTTTTTTCATTAAAAAATGTTAAAAAAGCCACGAAAATCAAGAAAATATGTGTGTTTAATTTTTTTAAGGCACAAATATTGAAATAACTAAAGTATTACTGTGAAACTAAGTAATTTGAATATTTTTTTAAGCTTTGACTTACCAATACCGTATTTAGCTCTACGGAGCAACTTAAACTGAAAACAAAATGGATTTAACTTCCCACCTCTTTATAGCAACGTTGAATTAAGGTCATGAGTACTACAACAGTAAAAGTAACAGAGTAACAACAGGTTAATGTTAGCAACGCGCAGTGACGCCTAGTTGGCTGGATAGTTTGCTCAATTTCATTTTTTTTTGTTGAGCTAACTTTAACTTCTTTAACTGATACTGCTGGTATAATAATAATGTAATTTAACTTAAAACTTTCTAAATTCCTATTTTATTTCATGTTATAAACCTTAGCAAATCAGTGTAATTGCAAAGTTTTGTAGCAAAATTTTTACATTATTACAGATACACCAATTCAACCTGGTAAAATTATTACAATGTCAGTTACACCAAAATTGTGAAGGAAATCTGAAAAGTTCACACCTGAAAATTTCCGTGTAATTGTAATTTTTTTNTCGAACTGTTTCCCTGATTAATTTCGTAGTGAGTTCAATGACAGTTTAACTTTCCTTGGGACAAACTCGGTCTTCTTCACTGGTTAAGTTTTTGTTAGTGGTCAAGCTGCAGATCTAGAATTCACATAAGTTGCAGTGGTTGGAATAGTTTCCTACCCTAAAAAGCACAGAACCACCATTAAAATCGGATATTTGGTAAGATTTTTGTGTTTTTCTCTGGGTATAAGAGTAGGCGCACACCGTTGATTTTTCGTCGGCCGATAGTTTAGTCGGGCAGTTGATCAGTATGGGCATGTATGGGAGTGCGCACACTACGCCGATTCGATTTGGCCGATTCTTCATACAATTTAAAATCGGGCACAACTATCGGCCAACTAAAAATCAACGGTGTGCGCCTACTCTAAATGTTCGTAATTATCAAACAAATTGTCCCCGACCTTATTCGAACCTAGAACCTTTGTTGGCATTACAGTCCAGTTCGCGAACGATCAGTCCATAAAATTTCCATAACCCAACAAATCATTATCGCTGATACAATTTTATCGAGCGGATACACCCTGCGTGGCGTAATTA